AATCTGACCGCTGAGAGTTCTCCTAAACAGCAGTAAACGTTTTAGCTAAGAGTTTCTCTTAAAACCTGTTCACAAAGCTGCTGAGACGAACCTGTACTAAGGAATAGAGCTGAGAGTAAGGGGGCGGGGCTGAGCTCATTGCTATGGATGATGTCAGAGTGCTTATTATCTATGCACACAGTGATTGGCCGATAGCTGATTAATTCATAGAAATATTGTAGCGCATGATATTATGTTGCCACATTCAAATAAAGATTTTAAAATGCAGGCTAAGTGTCACTAATCAAACAAGTAAATGTTCAGCTACTTGTCAGCCTCGTAAACAATTAGTGAATATGCATATCAACAGCCTTTTAATTAACAGAGTAATCACAGCTGATAGTAAGACATGCAAACTTAAAACAGCTGTTACTTCTCGCCCAGCTGCTTAATGAAAACAAGAATATAATCCAAGGAAAATTTAGTTGGGATAACCTCCCTCAGATTCCAGATTTTCAAATAGTTGTATCTCGGCCAAATATTGTGCTATCCTAACCAACCATACATCAATGGAGAGCTGATTTTCTAAAGGAGGCTCTAGTGTGGTGGTAATGTGTTGTGACTGCAGGCTGGGACGCAGACGAGTCCAGCTCAGATGGGATCAGTCCTGCGCTTCTGGTTTCTCTGATGACGCCGAAGCGATGCTCCCGGAGCTTCTCCGGATCACACTTCCTGGCCGGACGCTTCCTGCCCTTTGACCTTCAGAGGAAGTACGAGCTGAACCTGCCCAAGTTCTCCGGGACGGATGCTGTGGTCCAGCTGTGATCCGCTCCAGCAATGTTTCTCCATGTCTTCGTTTAAGAGCAACAAACACAATTCAACAGAAGACGGGAGTCTTGAGTATTCGGTTTGATTGATGCGCTTCCATCGTTACAGGATTCGTTCACGTCCAGAATGAAAATTCTATCATTTACTCACTGTCCACTCGTTACAAATCTGAGTTTCTTTCTTCTGTTGAACACAAACGAAGATATTTTGAAAAACGTTGGTACCCAAGCAGTTGATGAGCACCATTGACTTCCACAGTATTTTCCCCTACTAGTCATCTTTATTTATAAAGCGCTTTATACAAGTCTGAGCGTGTCAAAGTAGCTTTACTACAGTGTCGACAGGAAAATAGTTTCAATAATGCAAGATCGTTACGAAGAGTCATTTTTCCAGCTAAAGTCCATTCATTGACGCCATCAGCCTACTGTGGAAGTCGATGGAAACCAACATTTCTCAAAATATCTTCGTTTGTGTTCAACAGAAGAAACTCGTACAGATTTGGAACAAGTGGAGAGTGAGTTTATTTTGGAAGTGAACTAATCCTTTAAAGATTTGCAAAAAAAGGCTTTTTCTTAACCTAGACTTTTATTAGTTTCAAAAATAAAAACAAAACTCGCTCCTACTTGAAGCAAAACAAGTTTAGAAAAAAATTTCATCCCAATATTTGGTTTTAATACAGCATGAGAAATTCATAAGCTATTTTGTGTAGGCCGGTCATTTTAGACTGCTGTGTGACTGTGCCGTTTTGAACAAAATAAAAGCGTTTCAAAACAAACCTGATTAAAGCACACCAGTGTGAGCGTTCACATTTTATTAAGTCAAAATTATAAACAAAAACATGCTTTTTTCTTCATTTACAAACAGCATAAGCTCAGATCAGTGAAACCTAGGAAACACAACAAACTTCAATTAGTTTACAAACTAACAATTCGTCTAAATCATTCATTTCAACATGTACTAATGCAGTTTTAAAATCAAAACTTGCATCTGTTGAGATTATGTAATAAACCTGAAATCATTCACAACAGGTGGATTTTTATTAACAAAGATTCATAAATACTGTAAGAAATGCATTGCTCATTGTTAATGCATTAAGTAATGTTCCTGAGGCCTGCGATCAAACAGCTCCAGAAGAGCACACTAAACCTTCAAGCCGGATCCAGTATTTGGTGATTATAAAACATCATCACGGTAATTTCTGAGCAGGAAAACCAGTGGTGTTACAGGGTTTTCAACTGCACGAGTTAAAACATTGACCCGTATGACTGGCTTTGTGCTCTAGGGTCACATATTATTGCTCTTTTGCTGGTTTTGATTGCTTCTGTCCTCATTTGTAAGTCGCTTTGGATAAAAGCATCTGCTAAATGACTAAACATGAATCTCCATCAATCACAGCAGGTCCTCGGTTTCATCTTCAGCCCATCGTTCCATCATCTACACTAGAAACCAGATCAGATCACAAAACACAGGTCAAGCCTTTGTAAAACCTCAATTCAAGACATTCAAAATCAAAATTCAAGACATATGGACAAGTCTACATTGCTTGACGTTACACTTACAAATTCTCCACAAGTATTCTTCTGTTGGAATATTTAGTAATGATGCAAGTGATCATTGTACAGTTCTACCTATATACAAGTCTGTTTATTTTTAGAAGAAACTATAAAAACTTTAGTGAGCAAGCCTTTTTACATGACTTGTATAATAGTGAGGTTTTTCATGTATGTGATATGTTATAAAATATATTATAAAAATATTGCTTGGACCAAGGCTAAAAGAACTAATAGCGCTAGTGATTGGGAACAATATAGAGCACTAAGGATTAAATGTACCAAAATGATAAAAAATACAAAAAGTGAGTATTATCTTAGTGTGATAAATAAAAGTTGGAATGATCCTAGTAAATTTTGGAAGCTGATAAAATCATCAACCGGGTCTATGCAGACTCCCGATTTACTAAAGGTAAATAATGAAGAAATTAAGGATAAATAGAATATAGCAGAAGCTTTTAATACACATTTTACTAATACAAGTTCAATCACTTCATCTGGTTTGATGGTAAAGATAATATGGCCATCTCTTCAAGTTGTATAAGAAATGTTTTTAATTTTCTACCTATTTCCCTGTCTCAGGTTCATAAAGTTCATGCTGGCCCTGATCAAACAGAGCCTTACTTTTTAAAAATATCTGCAGACTTAATAGCGAGACCTATTGCCTCTTTTTAATTCAAGTTTAAGCAGTGATCTGATACCAAGTTCTTGGAAGTCAGCAATTATTCGGCCATTACTGAAGGGTATTGGATAATTATTGGCCTATTTCAAGATGGTCTGTTACAGCTAAAGTGTTTGAATCATGGTAAATGAACAGTTAAAGTACTATTTGTCAGCTAATAATATTTTATGTCAGGTTTTAGACAAGGACATAGTACTATAACTGCTGCAATGTACGTCACTAATGATATAATAACTGCATTGGATGATAAAAAAAAATCATGTACTGCACTCGTTATTGATTTATCGAAAGCATTTGATTCTGTGAATCATGATCTTTTGTTGCAAAGGCTTAAATGTGTAGGTTTTAGTGATATAGTGTTGAAGTGGTTCTTTAATTATTTGACTGGAAGGACTCGATGTGTGTCCATAGATAATTATGTTTCTGCTCCTTTAATAGTGAATACCGGTGTTCCTCAAGGATCAATTTTGGGGCCAATTTTATTTTCTATCTATATAAATGAACTTGGTTAATTAGTTGAGCCAGCAAATGTACACTTTTATGCAGATGATACTATCATCTACACTATGGCTCCATCTTTAAAAGTGGCAGAATGCATTTCAGATTTCTCTTGGTGACTTACAATTAGCGTTGAATGCTAAAAAAACTAAATACACGATTTTTACACGGTCCAGATTGTCATTAAATGATTTTATGATTCAAACTTTAAATGGTACACAGATTGAAAGGGTTGCGTCTTACAAATTTCTTGGCATCTGGCTCGATGATAAGCCGACTTACAGCTCTCATATCGATAGTCTTTTAAAGAAATTGAGACCAGCGATAGGTTTCCATTTTCATTTAAAAAAAATGTTGCTCGTAAACGTTTAGTGGAAAGTACTCTATCAGTATTGGACTATGGTGATATAATTTAAATGCATGCATCTCTGAATGGTTTGAAAAAATTGGATGTAGTTTATCATTCTGCTTTACGATTTGTTACTGGCACAAGTGTCCGCACACATCACTGTAATTTATATGAAATGACAAATTGGACTTCATTGTGCTTGAGGAGAAAAAAATGTTATTTTTTATTTTAAAAGCTTTAGTGGGTAAATTACTACGGTATACATCTAGTTTGTTGACATACTGCACAAATATTTATAATACTAGATCAACAGAAACTCTTAAGATGCCGATTTTTCGTACAGAGATAGGTCGTTCTGCTTTTGCTAAATATGCTCCATATGTATGTAATGAGACGTTCCACCAACCTCACGCTTCAGAGGAACAAACGCCGTTCATCTCCAAACCCCAGACGGCTTCCGATGGGAACTCAACCTGAACAAAACCAAAGACAGATCACTAAACCTTAAACACTCAAACGCAGGAATCACAGACATCAAAACTAACTAGTGTCTTTGTAACTAATTTGGCATTTCTCAAATTGAACTACATTGGTGAAAGTAAATGTGTTGGTGAGACAATTTAAGGTCTTTCTAGCATGGTTGGCAATGCATGGGGAGAAATGAGTGGGAATTTAACGCATCTTGAGGCCTTAAGATCTGCGCTGTGCTGTCAGAGCTACAAATACTTAAACTTAAAGTGAACAGGAGAGCAAAGGAAGGTTACCTCGCGCACACAGGCTAACGAACAGAGCAGCCAGAGTCAGGATTCACTTCAGGAGATGCAACGCTTCAAGCTCCAAGGACGTGTTTGAGGAAACTCATCCAGAGCGCTTGGGTTCAAATCAAGCATTGTTTGGGTGAAACACTCAATAACTCACTCTACTCAACTAGCTAGCAGTACTGGTGAAGGTTATTCCCATTAAACTCAGTTCTTCCATTTGATCACGAGGACACAGGCAGTCGTGCAACATGTTTAAACTCCATTTAGTTAGCAAGGTGCAACACTTTAGTAACAAACCCAATTAGTCTTCAAAGCCAAACACAAACTACAGTTTAGAATTCTGCTGTTCTTCATGTTTGAGCTGTTAATTTTACTTGTATTTTTATAGCCATTAATTAAATTATGTGACATTAAGAACACATGACTTTAAACCTCTATTCTTCTCATTGGAAATAACATGCAGTGCTAAAAATCTCAATTCTTCAGAGACTGACCCATCAAGAACACATTTGGGTCACATTTAAACCAAGCCAACAGGAAGCTAGAAAATTAAACCCATATTTCTGACCCTGTAGGATACTCTCGCTATAATTTAAGAGACAGTTCACCCAAGAATTAAATTAACTTGCCCTCATTTTATTCCAAATGATGTCTAAAATCTATAAAAATGCTGGCGACCAAACGCTTCAGTTCCCATTGTATTTTTTGCCCATATAATTGAAGTCTACGCAAACAAAACGATTTGGTCGCCAACGTTCTTCAATCAGGTTTGGCACTACAAGTAAATGACCGAGAAACTAAAGTTTTGTGCGCGTGTGTGAGAACTATCCCTTTATGAACACCACTCAAAATAAATTCTTTAAAATTAATTATATACCTGCAGCTAAGCACAGAACAATGCAAGAACAAACAAAACACTACAGTAGTTAGAATGAGATGTGCTAAATTATATATTTTTTGGGAACTCTTAATGCAACTTTCCTGATAACAGTTATTGGGTGTTCTGAAGTTTGCACAAGTACTTAACATTAAAGCTTCTACTATTTTTGTTGCAATCTAAAGACACTGAATGGTGCTGCGCCTCTGCAGGAACACACCTGTCTCTGTTGTAGCCTCCGCCTCCTCCAGAGGAGTATCCTCCTCCTCCACTCTTATATCCGCCGCCGCCGTAGCTTCGGTCACTTCCATAACTGCGGTCACCACCTCCATAGCCACCTCCGCCTTCAACAAGCAAGACATCACAACACCGAGTTTATCAACTAGACACCCAAAAAACCTGAATCTGAGGATCACATAATACTGCTGACAGAGCAGCAGCTCTCAAACCTCCTCTTCCTCGGCCTCCTCTGAAGAAGCCTCCTCCTCCACCTCCTCGTCCTCCTCCACCTCTGTAGGATCCACCGCCGGACCGGCCTCCACCGCCACCACCCTTACCAGCCTCGTCCACACGGATCGTCCGGCCGTCCACAGACTACAGCGAAACACAGCGTCAGAAACATCCAGCGAGGGAAATAAACCAGAGACTCCGGCACACTCCCCCGGCTGCGTGTGAATGACCGTTATTAAATAAAATTAAAATAAATTAAGGGATTAAGCGATGTTGTGCTGTCGGTTCGAGTTTGTTTGACAGATACGGTGTCAAAGCATAATGGCCCAAAACACAGCTTTAGAGACCTTTCATGTTCGAATAAGTTAAAATTTTAAACTACACTTTTTGCCCGGAAGACGTATAGTTTCATGTGACCACGATGATGGAGAGTTCTAAAAAGATTGTAAAAAAAACCACATGCATATATAAAATCTTTTATTGGGTACTTTCAATTGGGAGGTGGCGGTTCCAAACCCTAACCCCTAAATTGCAACTTATGAAATATAATTTTTTATTAATTATATTTTTGGTTCTTTTAAAAAAGTAAGTTCAAAAAAAAATTCACATTTTCTTTGTAAATTATGAAACCACGTATTTTATATATATATATATATAAAAAATTTAAATGTCCCACATTTTTCATGTCACTACTGTTTTAGTCTATTGGCCGAGACTGATTGTAACCACACCCCTGCATTTATGATCAGGAAATATTCCTCTTATAGCTACGAGGTGCGAGTAGATGGTCACAGCACTGAGGTAAATGTTCAAAAGCCTAAAAAATAAAAACTTTAAGGAAAGTCACTACCAAACACATTTTTTCTGCAATTTTTTGGGAGTTATTCCATAACATTTAATTTAGTTTTTACAGGTTTAGAACTGTGCTAGCTAACCATGTGCTGATTAGCATCTTTGAGCTGGGTTCAAAAAGATCTAAAATGGTCACTACCGAAACATGTCATCAGTTACACCCCTTATAAACGAAATAAATGGTGATTTTTAGCATTATCATTATAATAAATTTAGTTCACTCATACATTCAGGGTGAAAACTGAATGTCAATTTTTCCACCATACATTCATGTTTATACAAAATTCAGGTTCCAAGTACAAAAACTAGAAATAATATTGTACCAATAGTTTTACAAAATACATTGACTTTTGTATCAAACTATTCAGGTTTATACACACAAACACTCAATCATGTTTTATTGCAAATTATTCTGGCCTTCAAATACCAAAAAATAAATTCTGGAAATAAGGCTCAGCAATTATACACTGCATAATTTAGATGACAATTATTGAATTTGGCTGAATCATAAAAGCCAGAAGTGGAACTAAACGCAGAGCCGTTCTGGAGTCGGTTCGTGCTGCTGAACCGAGTCAAATGAACCGACTCCCTAAAAAAAAGAGCCAGAACTCCCACCCCCAATTTGAGCCCAAATGAAAACAAGCGTAACGAACCTTTCCATTCATTCCTTCAAGTGCGTCTTTCGCATCGTCCGGATTCTCAAAGGTCACGAAACCGAATCCTCTGGATCTGTTGGTTTCTCGGTTTCTGGCCACGTGAACTGAAAACAGACATTATAATAATGCGCGGCTTATGCAAAACGCAGTCAACGCCGGAACCAATCAGCAGCAGAGCGCGTCAATGATTGGCTACTTACCGTTGGTGATGACGCCATATTTGGAGAAGGCGTCCTCTAGCGACTGTTCGGTGGTGTCGAAACTCAGGCCGCCGACAAACAGCTTTCCTTCGTCAGACATTCTGAGCTAGAAACACACAAGCGGATCAATAACACACACGCGCTACATTACAGCTCAAAACAGCTCGTATCGAGCCAACAAACGCGTTAGTTCTGACCCTAGGCGGAAAAAGCGAGTTAAAAAAAAAAAAAAAAAAAATCAGGCATTTAGCGATTAATTGATCTTTATAAATAACATTAATACGCTATTTTAATGTTTGTCGTGTTTTGTATTGGTTCAAACTCGAGATGTGGGTCACTGCGCGCCAAGATCTAAACTGGGTCAAACAATAGATTCCATACAAACCCACGAACCACCGAATAAAAGCACAAAAACCCGCTGATCTGAGACCAGCCGTCGGCAAATACGCATTATAACACACAAACACACGGTCACAGATAGCGAAAGCACAGATTAATCGATTCAACGTGAATAAAAACGGCTGCTCTGAGGTGAGGATGATGAAGATCGCAACGAGGCGTCGCCATTTTAAGCAGCGCGCGAATCACGAAGGACAAAACACGAGGCAAGACGATCGATCCTATTGTTACACGAGCTAGATTTAAATATAGTGGAAGCAGGCGTCGAATAAAGCAAACGAGCGCCGGTTAAAATAAGAAAAACGAAAGAAAAGAAAAAGGCAGGTACCTGTAATTTCGCAGTTGCGGGAGAAATGATGCGAGTCTCTAACGCTTCCAGAACTCCAGAGACGCAGCAAGACGCAGCGCGCCGCTTATAAAGCCCCACGCTCGGGGGCGGGGCCTAACTCACGCTCGTTTACGTAAGCAGCGAGAGAGCGAGAGCGAGAGAGAGAGAGAGAGACTTGACTTTTAATTATGTTCTTTGTTCATGCAGTGCTCAATGCTTTGGCAATACTGTGCAAGTCATGCCAATAAAGCTCACTTGAATTGAATTGAGACTTTTAAACCTCTTTTATTTACAAACAATTATAAATATACATATGTGCATATTATAAATACAAATAGCCTACCTACATAAACATATTAAGGCTGTATAAAGCATTTTCATTTATAACATTATATTAAAACCTCTCTCTTCACTGGATTGACATAAAATACTTTCAGTACCCCACAAAGAAAAAAAGGAGTCAATATCATTTATTAATTAATAAAACATATACCCCAAAACTAACCTATTCTCACCAAAGCCTTAAACATCTGTAAAGCATCAGTACCTCCATTACATGTTGTATTCCTTCTTGTCAGCCAAACTGCCATTTTAGCTTTTCCACATAAACAATCAAAAATCAAAAGGTCCAAAAACAAAAAGACTTTTTGTAAAAATAAAACCAAATTCATCAATTGCTCAACTCTCAGCCAGAATCTGTTCAGCATGTGATAATGGATTGTCAAGCATATGAAAACGAAAGAATTTAATTAAAAGAAGTATTTGAACAATTTAAATTAAACTTCAACTTGGAAAATATACTTGGAGCAGCATTGAGGACAGCATGAGTGCAGTTAATGACATTTCTGACAGAAACAGGTCTGTTGGAGCGAATATACAGGGTACAGGTTTTATTTTATTATTTATAAGTATATATTGTATTAATTAATTAAATGTTTTTTTTTTCCTTGCCAAACTCCAGTAAAACACCTATAAGTTGGTTTGCCAACCGCCAAAAACGCTTAAGAAGAAGAAGAAGAAGAAGAAGAAGAAGAAGAGACTGCTCCCACTGCATTCTGGGAGAGCTTGAAAAACAGAGCTGCACTTCCTCACAGATTGCCCCAAATACCAAACCATTAGGAACCACTACTATCCCAAAATAAGCTAAATATTTCCCCACCTTAATAACTGCACCCCAACTGAAAAACTCCCATCTGCCCACAGCCAAGAAAACTATATCCAGGAAATATACAGCTAACTCCAAACCAGCACACACACACACACACACAGACACCACCGGAATGCTACTGAGCATAAAAACAACGTTAAGATAATAAACATATATAAAGACACATGAGAGAGAGAGAGAGACTTGACTTTTAATTATGTTCTTTGTTCATGCAGTGCTCAATGCTTTGGCAATACTGTGCAAGTCATGCCAATAAAGCTCACTTGAATTGAATTGAGACTTTTAAACCTCTTTTATTTACAAACAATTATAAATATACATATGTGCATATTATAAATACAAATAGCCTACCTACATAAACATATTAAGGCTGTATAAAGCATTTTCATTTATAACATTATATTAAAACCTCTCTCTTCACTGGATTGACATAAAATACTTTCAGTACCCCACAAAGAAAAAAAGGAGTCAATATCATTTATTAATTAATAAAACATATACCCCAAAACTAACCTATTCTCACCAAAGCCTTAAACATCTGTAAAGCATCAGTACCTCCATTACATGTTGTATTCCTTCTTGTCAGCCAAACTGCCATTTTAGCTTTTCCACATAAACAATCAAAAATCAAAAGGTCCAAAAACAAAAAGACTTTTTGTAAAAATAAAACCAAATTCATCAATTGCTCAACTCTCAGCCAGAATCTGTTCAGCATGTGATAATGGATTGTCAAGCATATGAAAACGAAAGAATTTAATTAAAAGAAGTATTTGAACAATTTAAATTAAACTTCAACTTGGAAAATATACTTGGAGCAGCATTGAGGACAGCATGAGTGCAGTTAATGACATTTCTGACAGAAACAGGTCTGTTGGAGCGAATATACAGGGTACAGGTTTTATTTTATTATTTATAAGTATATATTGTATTAATTAATTAAATGTTTTTTTTTTCCTTGCCAAACTCCAGTAAAACACCTATAAGTTGGTTTGCCAACCGCCAAAAACGCTTAAGAAGAAGAAGAAGAAGAAGAAGAAGAAGAAGAGACTGCTCCCACTGCATTCTGGGAGAGCTTGAAAAACAGAGCTGCACTTCCTCACAGATTGCCCCAAATACCAAACCATTAGGAACCACTACTATCCCAAAATAAGCTAAATATTTCCCCACCTTAATAACTGCACCCCAACTGAAAAACTCCCATCTGCCCACAGCCAAGAAAACTATATCCAGGAAATATACAGACTCACTCACTCACTCACACTCACACACACACACACACACACACAATCCAGTTATTCAGTTCATTAGTTAAAATACATACATACATAAACTTGTTACACAATCTTTAGTAGTTATCATATGTATATGTGAGTGTATGTGTAAGTATATGTATCTTTATAATATGTGTGTGTGCATGTGTGTGTGTGCGTGTGTGTGTGTGTCGTTGCAAACTCTCTGTTGTAGGCTGTGCTCTCTATTCATATGCATGCTTTGGCAATGCGAAATGTGCTTTTGTCATGCCAATACAGCTGTCTGGATTGAACTGAACTGAATTGAGAGAGACAGAGAGACGATCAGTGAAGTGTGAGATTGTTTTCTCTTTAGAAAGACTTGCAGCTAATTAGATTATTCATCTGAACAAACCTGAGAAAACTCTTGAGCTGGTCTAGAGGTTTTATCAAAAACAAGAGATTTTATTCCTAAAAATAAGACTAGAATAATAAACAAACAGCACAGAGGACAACGTATCTGCAAATCTGAATATCACACATAAAAAATCCAGAACTGAAGTGTTATAAACTCACTCAGTTGTGTAAGTTTACACTCAGTTCAGACTTACAGAAGCATTAGACTGAAGATTGAAGCGTCTCAGAGACTCATCCAGATTCCAATCATTCACACAGCACTGAGGCGCAGCGGGGCTAGTTGTCACACCTCTCAACATTTCTCAGAGTGGGTTTATGTTTACAGTCGCTTTATGTATAGACACTAAAAATGTATTTCCACCATCAGGGAAAAAAACTCAGCAGATATTGCAGAAACAGTCGTGTCTGGATGAAATAGATTAATATTGCCTCCAAATCATGGCATCCTGTACCTGCAAATACAGATTAATCTCAAAAAGTTATAATAAATGATGGGAGTCCAGAAACCGTGCCTCTTAACATCTGAGTGCTGAATCATTTATATAATTTATTAGCATTTCATAACTATATTCAGTACTACATAAAACTACAAAAGCCCCTGTGAGGAAATTAATTGTCAAATTAACAAATAAAATCTTATTATTTTAAACAAATGTGATCCTGATAAACATCCACTGATGTACAGCTGGAAATTTGTTATCAAAACTCAGACATTAATCAGAATCATATTTACACACAAGGAATTTGTCTTGGTGCAGGAGAAAAAGTACAGACATGCATATAATAAAAATAAATATAAGACTAACAATAAAGAGAAGAGAAAATAAATTATAACAATAACAACTATGTAGCAATAAAAATATAGAGAAAAATGTGCTACATTTAGATTTAGCAGATGCTTTTATCCAAAGTGACTTACAAAAGAGGACAATAGAAGCAATCAGAATCAACAAAAGAGCAATAATATACGAGTGCTGTGATAAATCTAGGATTAGTCTAATGAAAAATAAAAAATAAAACAAGTCAAAAGAATAGAGAACGCTAGAGTTATAGGGTTGTTTTTATAAATGAAAAGAAAACAAATAGATTGAATAGAAAAAGAACAGAGTGCTAGTGTTAGAGGGTTCATTGTTTTGTTGTTGTTATCTTTTGTTTTTAAATAAAAAGAAAACAAGTAGATAAAATAGAAATAGAATAGAGGTGCAAGCATTAGAGGGTCAGTTTTTTTTTAAATAAATAAATAAAAAAGAAAACAAATAGATAAAATAGAATAGAGAGTGCAAGTGTTAGACAGTCCAGTTTAAAATAAATAAATAAATAAATAAAAAGAAAACAAGCATATAAAATAGAAATAAAATAGAGAGTGCAAATGTTAGACAGTCAAGTTTTTTTTTTAAACAAATAAATAAAAGAAAACAAGCATATAAAGTAGAAATAGAATAGAGTGTGTGTTATGATGGAGGCAAGGGTGAGATGAGGCGAGGATCTAAATGCAGCAAAAGTTTATTAAAGAAAAACAAAGATAATCCAGACAGAGAGCAGGAATGAAAACAGCAAATACAACGACTCACAGCGGCTGCCTAAAACACAACCTATATCCAGAACACCAAACTAGTAAATGACACACAGGTGGAAGACATTAGATCATAATAGCCGCTTTCCCACTATCTAGTTTTCACGTCAAGAGTTCTGTCCTTTTTTCTGTTATTGAACGAAGTAAATATCAGATAAAAAAGGAGTCCCAAAAACAGAAATATCTGATCATCGTCCATATCGCTGTTTATATTACACTTGCGTTACCAAGGCAACGACTGATGCATTTGTATTGCATTCCAAAGAGCTCCGTTCAGCACCACAGTGGGAAATGAAACCGTAGCCGTGCTGACTGGCCCCGGATCGGCACGGAATGGAACGGTTAAGCAAAGAGAACCGTTCGGCCCGATAGTGGAAAAGCGGCTAATGAGTCCAAACAAAGGATAATGGGAAATGTAATGAAACCGTATCCGTGCTTACTGGCACGGAATGGAACGGTTAAGCAAAGAGAACCGTTCGGCCCGATAGTGGAAAAGCGGCTAATGAGTCCAAACAAAGGATAATGGGAAATGTAGTCCATGACATAATGCTAAAGGACTTGTGAGGAGTGCCCTCTGGAGGAGCTCATGGGCACTTCCGCTGGAGAGCGTGACAGAGTGCAAGTGATAGGCTTAAAAAAAAAAAGAAAAAGGACAAGAAAACAAATAGATAAAATAGAAATAGAATGTAGAGTGCAAGTGTTAGAGGGTCA